CGTTCATTGTCAGGTTGCCAATCTTCAAGCCAGTGTAGTCTTTTTTCTCTTCTTCGAACTCTCTCCATTCGTCCTCGTCCTACAGAAACGTCATTCAAACATGTAAAATGGTACAAAGGTTTGTGATATATTTTTAAGCTGTTATACTGCTGTGATATATTGTAAGCATACATACTTGTTAAGCTGTTTCACTATAAAAGCGGTTTTACACTATAAAAAAAAGGGGAGGGGGGAAATGGAATATAGACAATGCACTTCGCCTTAGAAAACAAGATTCTTCGTCGAGGATCAACATCAAGCATCGACAATAATCGCGGAACAGCTGCTTCGTTTCGGCGAGTTTACAACGAAAAATATTCGTGGCCGCGTAACAATCCAATTACGTAACAAACAAAGCGACGTTCGAACAACGAGGCAACGTGAATCACGTCGGATTCGATGGGTCCAAGTGAGCAAATTAGTTTCGGTAATGATAAGAATGACGTTTGCAAGAACAAATATGGCAGCGACCTATGGCACACGGTAATTGGCAGTCTCTCGCGTGGACGATTTACAATTCGCGAGGCGAAAGTCGAACGGGGGAGTGAGAAACGAGAAGAGTGAAAAGCACATGCAGAACGAACGAATGTTCACCTCGGTTTGTTGAGTCTCCTCGCCCTCCGGATTCACTGGTTTGTCTTTCGATTTCTTCCCCAAACGTTTGCCCGTCTCTTCCAATTTCTTCGCTATCTCCTCCGTGGTCGTGAACTTCTTCCCCTTCGCTTTTTTCCGGTCCTTTTTCGCGAAGAAATCGTCCAAATCAGCCATGCTGCGATGACTCTCGCGGTGCACGCGCGATTATTTCTTCGGACAAGCTTTCCTCCACGGGAGCACGAGGGTAGACTTAGCGCAGAATGATCTCAGGCACCGCTGCTGCTGTCCACATGGGCTTGTCTTGACCGGAAGTCAGCCAGTCACTTCGAAGTCAATGGAATATCCGAATGCGAGCAATACTTTCGCCGGAATAGCCTCGCGCCGTGTGAAATGCTCGAAGAAACACGGACAATCCGGCGATGGGACTTTATCGTCGCTTCAAGTCGTTCCAGCTACGCGAAACAACGGTGTACTGTCCCCTCGAGCGTGATTATGTGGCGCTGACTGTCTAGCAGAAGACCGACGCAAAAAATCCAAGGGCCACCTAACCTAGAAACGTGATCGCGTGTTTGAAAATTGTCGCGTTATTCCGGTCGTCTCGCGAAAGATGCGAGAAGCTGAAGCGACAGATCACTCGCGAATCGAGAACAGGGAACGAATGGATCGTCGTGAATACGTGAAATATGCTGAAAACGTGACTCGAGCAGAGGTTAATTGATCCACGGGTCAGCGTATACGGCGTGCACCGTTGGCGGCGCCACGTGTCTTCCCACCACTTCCGGAATACGAAATGATACTCACTCTTTCAGATCGTGCAGATGTGTAACTCGAAGTAAATTTTTTGGAAGAGCTGCGAAGAGCTACGCCCGACTTGTTCGATCGTTCGCGTCGAATTGGTTGTCAGCCTTCGCCGCCGAGCTTTATTTATTGTCGTCAGGTTGCAAGCTTATCCCTTCCAAGGGCCACGAAGTTTCTAAAAGGTCCGAGGATCCTTTGTGTCTGCTTTCCGTTTCTCCTTCCATGGTTTCTGTGTACTGACGGATTTCTTTAGATAAGTAAAATGAATGAAAGAACTTTGTATGCTAATATCATAAGTAAATGGAAAGTAAAGGTCATGCATAGTATTAAATGCACTTTTGTTTTACAATGACGCAGGAAACAAAGCCGAGGAACGTCATTTGCAAGTTTAGTCCGAAATTACACGGTCTCCTTCACCCTCGGCGAATCTACCTGAAGGCTTAGACAAGGCTGACGAAGGTTTACGCTGCATCAATCACTATTGTTATAGTACCAAAGCTCGAGAGGTAAAGCAATAATACAACACATAAGAAGGTTGTCGTAGATCGTCTCATTTTAGTCGGTTACTTTCTAATCCCTGTCGCTCCTATCCCTAATTGCTATAAGCTGTATAAAATCCATGAAATGCCTGCATGAAATTTATTCGAGAATCAGTAATCGTATATATAACTTTATCCTGATCTTATTTCTTATCTTCGACCTCGTCAACGATCTATCTTTATAAAATTCACATTTTCAGACAGAAAGTCTACAAAAATTGATGTACACAACTGATGGATACTGGCATGCAAAGGTCAAGCTCCTTCTTCGTCGTTCTAAAAATCCTTCTCGACCGATTACCGAGTAAAATCGTCACGAAGAAAACAGAACGAAGCAGTGAAATATTTCGAATGTGGCGCCTCGGAGAGCCCTACTTTCGTTCGCCTCACGCGCGGTACGCAGCCGCGCGTACATCGAAAGAGAATAAAGTGGCTGCCTTTCTTGAAACGCCAGTAATCGTGTCTAGCCTTGCCACGAACCATCGCGATCGGAGGTGTCTCCTATCCTCGTGCCGGCGTACTACGCGAGGAAGCCTCTCGCTGTTCAACGCTGCCTGCAGTAGATTCAGCTTGACAGTATTCCCCGTGCTTTTTAAACGAGGAAACATCTGCGAAACGGAGTTGCGACTGTCTTCAGGAGAAAGGTGGAAAAGGAAACCGAGTCGACGGCTCCATTTAAGTTCATGTGTCACGACGTACGACGAGATGAAGCTCACGCAAAAGTGTCTCGGGAACATCAGCAAGATGCTGGACTTTTACTCGCAGTTCAACCCCTCGCCGCTTTCGATAAAACAGTTCATCGATTTCGGTGAGTTTGGCGAGCTCTCGCTTTATTGGCAAACGTTACACAGGGTTTCTCAGCGTTTCAACCACGAGACTCGAGACATCGTGAGACTATAGCAGGCTATTTCTTTTTATACCTACTACTTTCTTTCCCTTTTTGTCGTTTTTTTTTTTTTTTTTTTTCGTGCGTGCGTGTGTGTCTCCCCTCCCCCAGCGTCGTTGTTTGGTTAGTAGGAACGAGAATCGATCGAACAACGACCTCAAGAGATCACGGGGCCATCGTTTTCAGGGTCGCTTCGGTAAAATCGCGCAACGATCCCCGGGGCATCGTACCCCGTGGCTACTTTACAATACCAGCGATGGCGTTGCTGCATATTTTTTTTTTTTTTTTTTTTTTTCGTTTTCGTTTTCACGGTTGACGCGATCCAAAATTGGTTATAAAAGAACCTTGTATTATTCTATTGCTGCTATAGATCGTCTCGCATCAGTAGCGACCTACTACTATTCAGCTGCATCATTTGAATTATGTATATTTAACGCGCCTATAGCAAATTGAAAATCGCTACGTGATGTAATGCAGTCATGTGAGTAAACAAAGTGCTCATCATTTACTGATTCTTTCTCTTCCACTCAATGAGTGATCACGCGCTAAGTTGATTGCAGCGTCAAGCGATTGTGATATCATTTCG